AATGTGTGCATGCTTTATATAACCTGTAGTTACCGAATATCAAACCTAATGACATAACCTCAAATTTTTAATATATTCAAAACAAATAATATATTAGCAAGCAAAGCAATTCGGTATTATAATGAATAATAAAAAAATAAACTGGACAAAACACAAAAATACTCTACGTTCAAAAGAAAGGTTCTTCAAAATTTTTTAAAAAATAGGAATAATCCAAACCTCATTCAAACTACATCTACCAATATTGGAAGCCAACATGCAAATTTACCATCCACAAGCAGAGATCAGGATCAACCTGAGATATTTCCAACAGAAAGTTGCCAAAACGATCAGGAACAAGAAGATGCCTGGTTAAGGCATCCTCTAACATAAGAGAATGAGCTTTGCGCTCTAACATTACACATTCTGCACTTAAAGAGCTTTTTTCTATAGTCAATTCATTCATAACTGTTCTACCAAAGTACCAAATGACCCTAGGACTCTTTTGCAAACTCCTACCACTTTAAATATAGATCAAATTGAACCAAAACAGTATTATTTCAATTTTATGAGGTTATGTTTTGTTTTCTGCCAATTTTCTGTCAAATTGCTGTAATGTCAAACTTCGTTCGCAGGGAGTCGCTACAGTCGACACCACGGGTTACATAAAGGTTTTCTGGGTGACTAAAAGTAGCCATAAACACTCCGGTTTGGTTGTGAGAAGAAGAATGTTAGGGGTGCAAACAGTGCGTAGTACCAAAATAGCATCCACAATATACTTAAATCAGCAAGCTATATACAATAAAACATAAAGATATACATAATATAAAATGCAATTGAATGTAATATACTATAAATGTAAACGTAATATAGTATATGTATTTTTAGAGGAAGAAAGCCTTTATAATTTTTTTAAATTTCAAAAAAGACAACGAAAAAATGTCTATGTCTACTCTAGAACTTAACTCATTAAATGAATTCTGCATTCTAATCAATGGAGAATGATTATTTTATTTCTAAGATAACGTTGAAAACTGGTACAAAACTATATTTTGGCCAGTTGCCAATTATTTCTATGTATTAGAAAAATCGTATGTTCTATTATTTATATTAATAAATTTGACTTTCATTACAAAAATTTTACCATATTTTTTTGTTTATAAAAAAATCTATTAAATAATTCTGCTTTTGGGGGCGTATGTGTTTTTTGGAGGTAAAATTTATTTTCACACAGTAAATTTAATATCGCATATGTATTTAGTACTCTAGCTAGGCACAATAGATTTTATTAAGCCAGTAATTTCTATAAAGTCATTTGCATAACGCAAACGCTTTTGTAGGCTATGAGAGGGATGGCATCATTTTGTCTCTTGTGTCTGGTCTGGATTATCTGCGTAGGACAACTTGGAGCAATAAGATCATATATCTGCTTTTTATGTTAAAAAGAGGCAAATATTAAAGTAGTTAGTCAGAAAGAAACAAGTTTATTTTCAAAAAACTCGCATGCGCTATATGGAGGTAATCTCTGGGAACCTTCTCAACACCATTACATAATTATTATATACCCTTCTTCAGTTTTATAGCGGTAACTCGATACGATATATAAAGGTGTTGAGAAAGTTTTCAGGACTTTGGTTGCACACCTTGAGTGTTGAGGATTACCACAGGAACAGTTATAAAAGGCACCGTTTAGGGCATATAAGTGTTATACATATAATGGTTAACAATAACTCACGACAACCATTCTAGATGCGTTTAGGTTGTATAATATGGTGTTGGTAAGTTTCCTAACACACTTATAAAACAAAAAATGTTTCTTGGGTAGCCAGCTGATTTGTTGTTTTTAAGCTGTTTTATGGAGGTCTTTATTTTCTGTTCTGTTATTGGGATGTCTAATATATCGAGGCTGTTATACTGAGGTATTATGTTTAGTGCTTCTATATTGGGGTTGTTGTCTTAGTTAAGGATATGGCTGTAATGCTTTTTCTAGCGATTTCTGATTTGTTCTTCCTCTTTTAGAAGCTCGCCATTTTGTGCCATGATTGGGCAGCTTACCTTCTTGGTTGGACCGTATACTTCTTTTACAGCCTCGAAGAATTTACGATAATCGTGATTCGTGGCGTACTCTTGAATCTGATTCGCTTTTTTTTACCACCAGTTATCCTTTAGTCGGCGCAGTTCTCTTCGAAGCGTGTTGTTGGCTGCTTTAAAGTTATCTACCAGTCTTGGATTGTGTAGATTTGCAGTGACTGCTTGATGTGCTCTATGCTTTTGTTCCAACAAAGCCTGTATATGCGGTTGATTTTCGTTAAACCAGTCTGGTTGTTTCTTTTTGTTTGACTTCCCCAGTACTGATTCGCTGGTTTTATGAATCGCATCCCTTAATTGTGTCCAGCCTTCCAAGAGTGAGATTGAAGTTATCGGTGGAAGTGATTCTTTGATGGTTTCCCGGAGGGCGTCGCCGGTATTGTTGTTCTCTAGACCCCGCACGTTCAATCTGGTCATGTTGTTTTGCTTTTTTACAGTGTGTACCTTTGGGTTTTAACTGGATTTTCATTTTTGAAATTAAAAGTCGGTGGTCGGTATCTATTCTGGCTTTTGTGAGTCTGACATCTTTTAGATGCATTCACCACGTATTGGTGATGCAAAGATTATACTCTGCGCATGTTGTTAATAAGCGTTCACCATTGTTATTTACGTTTCCTATTCCATGTTTTCCCAATACGTCAGGCCATATTTCTTGTTGTTTACCAACACGGGCATTAAAGTCACCTAGCAAGATGATTCGTTCGTGCTTTGGAATTCGTTGGAGGGCATTTTGTAGAGCTTGGTAAAATTTATCCTTATCCTCAATTTCAGCGTCTAGGGTGGGAGCGTAGGCACTTATGGTGTTGACGTAAGTTTTGTCTGATATGGGATACCTTAGGGTCATAAGACGTTCGGAGACACCAATAGTTACTTCTGTTAATTTGGTGGCGATTTTGTTTTTGATTGCAATGCCTACGCCATGAATTCTCCTGTGTGTTGCGGGGTAACCCTTCCATAAGAAGGTGTAATGCTCCTTAGTGAGACTACCTTCATCCGCAAAGCCGGTTTCGCTAAGAGCGGCAACATCTATATTTAATCGGTGGTGCTCCTGTGAGACCAGTGCTGTTATTCTCTCTGGTCGATCTGAATTTTTCTTGTCCAGTAGAGTGCGGACGTTCCACGCCGCCAACGTGAATCGTTGATGTTTTTTGTTTCTCCAATGATACGCTCGAGTAGGCACACCTCCCGGAGATCCTATTGAGGGGGTATTTTACCTCCGGACGATGATTTTGTCCCACTCGAATGTTCCATCATTGCTGTGTGTAAGTTGCGTAAAAAGGTTTTACTGTGGCGGTTACGCTGCCGCACAGTTTTAGCTGCAACTGTAGCACGGGATGGCTATGGCACAGTGTGGACCGCGACGATAGTTCCCTTGTGCTACGTTCTCGGCCGACTAGGTGTAGTTAAGTACTCCTCTTCCCCAGAAAGATGGTAAGTCTGAGGGTTGTGTAAGGTTATACCGCCTATACTCGGACGTCAGAGCCTCGTTTGTGTGCACCACGTAAAGAGTGCACCACATGAAATAAAAAACAATCAAAGTAAGTCAAACAAACAAAGTCAGGTAACAAAACAATAAAATACTATTAAAGTCATAAAAGTTAAAATTATCTAAATATTTGTACAAAGAAATGTTACAAAATGTCAAGATGAGCTTTTAACAAATAAATTACAATTACCATCGCAGCATTTATCTATCTAAAATTTTCAAATGTCAATGAGGAGTACATAATACTATTTCTAAATGAAGAGGGAAAATTGAGATTTAGGTGAGAGGAGCTAAAATATTTGTTGTAGTATTATCATATTAACTGATTTTTTTTTCTATTTCGGAGTAAATATTTAAATCACAAATCATTTTGAAAAAGACTTTAAGACTTAAGTCATCTTTCGAAAAATGACTTAAAATCAAAGTCATGTTCTCTTCATTAACCCTCATTAACCCTCAAAGTCATTAACCCTCAACTGGCGTGGTGAATTTTTGTAACGTTTATTTTTTCAGTTTAATATACATGATGAAGACATTTTATAAAAAGCTTGTTATTTTAACACTGTATACAATATATTCAAACTTGTGAACAAATAATTTCATTAATTTTCAACAGATTAATAAGAACGGCCACAAAAATAAAGTAAAACGCATTTTTTAGTAATTTTTGACAACAAAAATATAAATTGGCTAAGAAACCGATTGAAATTAAAAACATATTTATTTTATGATTTTACCTATTATTAAAAGTACAAAAAACTGAAATGTGAATCTAGTAATAAACATAAATTATTTTCAACAAAATTGCAAACCTTGAATGTACAAAACTTTTTCAAATACAGTTCATGCTAATATAGGATCTGCATTTGCCGCACATGGATCGTGCACATTTGATTCATGAGATTTTTGTTTTTTGTCATATCTTCATTGACATATGGTTGCCATATACCACATCTCTTTCTTTTCTGGTATTGATTATTTAATTTTCTCTCTTCTATAAGTAAGAGATTCAGAATCGGAGTTATGGTTACTCTTCGGAGAAAAATCAATGTCTCGATAGCAGGCTCGATGGTCTTCATCTCACTTAAGCCTCTTTAAGTTCATCAAACCACTCAATTAATGCTTCCTAAAATTAGCGTCCCAGTGAGGCACACTTTTTAGACTACCCACCATCCTAATAATGAAACATTCTTGGCGTTGTGGTGCCACACAGACCCCAATGAAACTTTAGCCCCCGCTGGTAGGAACAATACTTGATAAAATCAAATGCGCCTTTAACAGTTGCATATTGGTATCCTAACTTAAAGGTAAATGGCGCGGCGAAACTTAATTCTTAAACGTAAACATTTTACAGAGGTTTAAATAGTGCTTGGAGTCTGCTGGACTCTATCACGCCAGTTGAGGGTTAATATGATTTAAATCAAAAAAACCAATAACTATCGCTTACCTCTTAGTTTGAACCCTGGACCACCAATCCTATAATTAGACATGTATGCAGCAGATCTAGTATATCGGAAACTTGGAGGAAAATTTGCTGAGTCTATATCAGAACACGCATACTGAAGCGAAATTTTTCGATTACGAATAGATGGGAGGGGACTCATCCTAATATCTTGTAATTCAATTATTTCATCGTTTCCAGGATTTTTCTTTTCTAAATACATAATAAATTTGTTATTTTACATTATACCAGTTGGTGTTCTATTTCAAAATTACCATTTTTTTTCGTTTCGTTTGGTTTGACCTTCTTACTTTTCTTTTTAGCTCTGGCACCCCAATAAGTATAATTGACGGCGGCATATTCCAGTAAAGCAGCAAATACAAAAACAAAACACATAACCAAGTAAATATCTATTGCCTTAACGTAACTTATTCTTGGCAATGAACTTCTTACTCCTGTGCTGATGGTGGTCATAGTGAGCACAGTCGTAATACCTAAATATAAATATTTTAGTATCAGATCTAAAAAGTAAATTTGAAAGATGGTTCCAGAAGAGGGTAACTAATTAAAGAGATACTACTTATACTAAAATATTGATTAAATGATTTAATTGATTTTCCTTTGTTGGTTTGTAGAAGGATTTATGAGAAAAGTTTAAAAAATATGGGTACAAAAGATATTTGACTATATTTAAAGCATGTTAATTATAAAATGAAATAGTATAAATTAAATTATGGTACAAAATATTAAATAAAAAAATATGTAAAAATAATTTAAAATTTGTAAATGGAAAATAGGATTTTCAAGAAGTTTATAATCGAAGTATATAAACTTCATATTATTCACATTCATCATAAATAATATATTACAATATTATTTATGATGAATGATTTATAATATTATTTATAAATAACATCAATATCATTATCATATATGATAGAAATATGTAAATTATTTGAAAACTATATTACACATAGTAATTACCATCGTCATATTGAGCTGCGTAATAAATTGCCGTAGGTAACGGTGTCAACAAATTATTTTCGTATCCCTGCGTTCATTTCAAAATTTAATTATTTTGTGATTTACCTTAAAATCGACAACATTTAATGTTGAGTAGTAAAAATTAATGGCAAATATATTTAAAAATTTGGAATTAAATAAATATAACATTTTTACCATTTTACATCTTCGTTTTTATCCAAAGCATCACATTTTTAAAGTTTAATTTATCTACATGTACAGAAAAATATGAGGCTCCGTATAGGCCAGTAGGTATACAGGGTGTCCCAGAAATAAGTGCAAGTATTTTAACTGGTAGTATAGTTCAACCCGAGAGACGCCTATGAGGTTTTTTTCGCGAAAAAAAATTGAAAATTCGACATTTTTTGAAAATTTTTTTGGAATTATTTTAGTTCTTTGTTAAAAAACATAATTTCTTGATAACATCATAGGTATTAGATTAAATTTACAAGAAAGAAAATCCAGAAAAGATTCAGTGGTTTCAAAATTTTAGCAGAAAATCATTTTTTTTGAAAATTTTCAAAGTAAATTAACTCCATTATTTTGGACTTATTTGGATAACGATAAAGAGAAAATATGTTTCTTTTATCGAGATCTACTACTCCTTAAAATACTTGCCCTTATTTCTGGGACACCCTGTATATAATTTTATATATATACAGGGTTGTTCACCACATACGACACGGAGTGTTGTAGCTAAATGATTAGATTTTTACAAATTGTAAGTTTTGGGTTCGTTGAAAGACTATTAGAGCTACAATTTAAAAATATTTTTACAATATACAGAGTATCCCAAATAAATAAAAAATATCAAAGTTTTATTTTTTTAAATGGAACACCCTGTATATTATTACATTTTTAGTTTCTACGATTAAAATAAAGGTAAATTTGATTAAGGTTATTACACTTAAACCTTACCGTTTTTGAAATATTTTCAATTTTGTGAAATTGCAGTAAAAATTTTAAGGCTTAATTTTAAGCCAAGGGTATCAAAGTTTTTAATACTAAATATTTACTGAAGTCTATTTATTGATCAGTTATTGTGTTGCAATAATAAAAATAATACTACCTCATAGAGTGTGTTTGAAAATTTTCAAAGTAAATTAACTCCGTTATTTTGGACTTATTTGGAAAACGATAAAGAGAAAATATGTTTCTTTTATCGAGATCTACTACCCCTTAAAATACTTGCACTTATTTCTGGGACACCCTGTATATAATTTTAGATAATATACGGGATGGTCCGAACTGTATCCCGGAAACTTCTGCAGCATATTCTGCAGATAAAAATAAGTAAAAAAGTTCGTATAAATATATGTCCTAAAATGCTTAGTTTCGGAGATACAGGGTGTAGAAGTTTTATTTTTATTTCGATTTTTTCTAAATAATTTTTGAAGTAACGTCAATATTTCGATGAAAATTGGTGTCTAGGAGATTTTTGACATGAGAAATTTGATTTTGATGTCAATATGAGTCCTACTAGTAGAGGGCGCCACCTACATGTATTTTAACTATTTTAAAGCGTAATAACTTTTTGTCCGTACCTGTATAAAACTACCGAGCGAAAAAATATACATTTCTGTGACTTTTTACGTCAAAAATATCTATTTTTAAAAATCGCTCCGAGCAACCGTTCTTAAGATATTTAGAATGGAAAGAGTCAATACATGTCATTATTGACGAAAAATAGACAGGTTGAGTAGATAGTTATTTCACTGAAATAATAAATTTGGAAAATTTTTATTTTTTTAAATTAATCATAAATTTTTCTGCAAAAAATGATGATAAAACAGTTTCTGTTGAACTTTTGGCACAAAAACATATCAAATTTATGATTTCAGTCTAATAACTATTTAGTCAACATGTTTAATTATGTCAATGATGACAGGTATTGATAATTTCGATTCCAAATATCTCGAAAACCATTACTCGCAGCGATGTTTACCAAGAGACCTTTTTCACGTAAAAAACGTCGTAAATGTACATTTTTTTCCTCAGTAGTTTTATACAGGTACGGACGAAAAATTATTACTCTTCAAACCAGTTAAAACAAATGTAGGTCAAAATCAAATTTCTCATGTCAAAAAACTCCCAGACACCAATTTTCATCCAAATATTGACGTTATTTCAGAAATTATTTGGAAAAAATCGAAATAAAAATGAAACTTCTACACCCTCACTAAGCATTTTAGGACATACATTTATACGAACTTTTTTACTTATTTTTATCTGCAGAATATGCTGCCGAAGTTTCCGGAATACAATTAGGACCACCCTATATACAGGGTTGTTCACCACATACGACACGGAGTATTGCTATCTAAATGATTAGATTTTTACAAATTGTAAGTTTTGGGTTCGTTGATGGAATATTAGAGCTACAATTTAAAAATATTTTTACAATATACAGAGTATCCCAAATAAATAAAAAAATATCAAAGTTTTATTTTTTTAAATGCAATATACGCTCCATTAGTGGTGACGTCATATTGTGGAAGGTCAGTGTCGCAAAATCTAAACAAAGCATGCATTAACCCGTTTTTTTTCTCGTTTATTATTATATTACTGTTTTCTTAAGGATAATTGTATTTTTCCAAGTAAGTACATTTAATTTTGAACCGTACCAGTGCACTTTATAGTTAATAAATTCTATAATACTATGGAAATTCGTGTTCTTTATTGTTTTAACATAACCTCATATTACTTATCCCTATATGTATCCTTTTATGTAATTATACCTATAGTAAACGCTTATATACTTACTCAGAAAGACACAAATATCTTTTGAACAGAGTAACATAATAAAAAATTAAGAAAAATTAGATTATCCCATTATATTCTTGCTTTGTTTGGATTTTGCGACACTGACCTTCTGCTACATGACGTCACACTAACGGAGCATTATGTATATTATTACAATTTTAGTTTCTACGATTAAAATAAAGGTAAATTTGATTAAGGTTTATTATACTTAAACCTTACCGTTTTTGAAATATTTTCAATTTTGTGAAATTGCAGTAAAAATTTTACTTCATTTCTCAAAGGATATCAAAGTTTTTAAGGCCCCATATTCACACTTCGCTACTTCACTTCGTTCCTTCCTCGCGTCCCTTCGTCCACAAAAATCCTATATTTACTATGGGAAATTGTCGATTTTATGCGACTGTGTGTTCCTTCGTTCCTTCGTCAAAACGCTCCTTCGTCCGTTTACTTCCTCAAAACGCTCCTTCCCCGTACTGTCAGTTTTTGGACGAAGTAGCAAAGGAATTATCACAAACACAAAAAAATATTAAAGTATATAAAATATATAAATCGATCTTGGATTTCATTTGTAGTTGATTTCTTGATTTGGCATTACGTCTACAGGGTGTCCCATTTTCGTGTGTTTTGCAGGGTTTCTCGTTTATGTGTCGAGATACAAAAATGCGGTTTTCACATTACGATGTTACTTTCTTATGAAACTAAAGATGCTACATATAGATATGTCCTAGTTCTTTTACTTCCTAAAATACAGGGCGAATCTGAAATTATTGCATTTTTCGATCCCCTTTGTATCATAACTTATCGAAAAGGTGAAAACGGTCTCCCGTACAGTTTTTCACGTAGAATGCAGTGACTTAACTATTTCTTTGTTGGAATCTGTCTTTTTTCAATTGACTAAAATTTATATGTTTTTTAAATGCGATATTTTGTATATTATTTTATTTTCTTTGTTACGGGCTTTCTAAAATACTTATTTTCATAAACGGGGTAAAAATGCGTTATTTAACTTTATTACATAATCGGCCGGTTTAAATTAGGTAATCAAAACAATCAACTAATTTATTCGACGTAAAATGTTGGTTATTGGCATGTTATTTAAAAGCAGCACAAGTTCGGTTTCCTTTTAGTTTATCAAAATATCACGATGCAAAGCAAAATTATTAGCAAATGGCGCCTTGTGCCTCGTTTGCTTCCCTTCTTCTTTTTTTTCAGAATCGCTAGTTCATCGTTGCTGATTCCTCCCGTATTGACGAAGCCGGAAGGCAGAAACATTGAGTGTCTACGGGTAGTCTGTTTTAGTCATGTCTCATGACTAATCTTACTGTAGACTTGCCCAATAAATTATTTCTTTTTTTCATTATAGTCCCCACGATAACATCTTTTGTTTATTGTTATCTCTGGGCCAAGGTGATAGCGGCGAGGTGTGTTGGAACGCTTCCGCAGCGGTTTTTCGGTGGTAACGCTTCAAATTGTAAGCTACTGCCTAACCAGGCTGCAAATGGCGTCTTGTGCCTCGTTTGCTTCCCTTCTTCTTCTTTTTTCAGAATCGCTAGTTCATCGTTGCTGATTCCTCCCGTACTGACGAAGCCGGAAGGCAGAAACACTGAGTGTCTACGGGTAGTCTGTTTTAGTCATGTCTCATGATTAATCTTACTGTGGACTTGCCCAATAAATTATTTCTTCTTTTTATTATAGTCTCCACGATAAC